ATTCTGTTATCTCGTGTTTTGCTAAATTACAAAAGGTATATCTGCTTCTCTTCTTGGTGGTAAATTTTTGCACTCAGCATTGGAGTTTCTATGTGGTGCTTTGAAGTGTAGCACCATGAACTAATGAAGTGTTGTGCAGTGTTCCGCACTAATCCTTCAGTCATATCACTTGAGGTGTCAGTGTAGGCGTTGTTTTGAGCGCCAATTCCTTTTTGAAGCAGCGCATGTCAAACCATCACTTTCCATACTTTTACTCATTTTTTCTTCACTTTTATAGCTTCCACCAACTGGATCTAATCCAGACCTTGTACGAAGTAGTCCAGCTCCAACATCAACAGCTTTAAAACCTGAAACTGCCTCTGCAAAAATTGAAAGTCCTTCTAGTAAGCCTTCTGCGGATAAACCTGGTGCATCAGACATAATGAGTCAATCTTACACACAAATTTCAAAATCGGATAGTCCGACTCGTAAGATGATAAGTGGGAGTAAACTCCCCACTTCTACTACCACTACTACATCAACACCGCCTATCCCTACTGGTATTAAAATGCCAATAAATCCTTCGGAAATATCACAAACAATAGCAGCACTTAGTGATGTAAAAGCGGCTGCGCAGAAGGTGGATTCTGAAAATGCACCAAGTGAACTTAGAGATACGTCTCAAAAAATACCAAAAACATCTGTATCAGCTGTTCCAAGTGGTACTGGTAAGTACATCCCAGACACAGAGTTGGAACTGGCAAATCTACGTGCTGAAGTAATCGAATTTCGTGAACAAATTGATGCTTTAAAAGCTAAACGGGAAGAAGATAAAAATAGAATACAAGAATTAGAACGTGTTAAAATTCAGCTTTCACAAGTTGAAGAGAATCGACGTCGAATCCGACAACAAGCAGCTGAATTACAACGTGAAATTGCTCAATTAAAAACAGTAGGTTTTCTTTCTTATATTGATTTTAAAAATTTTGTTGGGTTGGTGAACTGTACTTGGAGCTTAAATTATTCTTTTGAAGTCACTATCATTACTGTTTCCAAAGAATGGATACTGAACAAAGAATACTCTTTTCGATAACTTCATCATCAGGCTCTGCAGTTATATATACATTATAGTGAATGAATAAATTAGTGTTGTGAACAACATTAATGTTTAAATAACCACGAATATCAATAGATTATAGTTAAATAGCATCAATATAACAATAAACTAAATGTCAGAAAAAAGAGTAAAGATAATAATACAAATTCATGGATTTATAATCTCCACTAAAGGCCGGGGCAATAGTAGTGGCTGGACTTGCTTCTTTTGCACACAAAGCACTGGTTATTTGAGGCGAATTGAAATAGCCTCTGCTGTTTGGAGCATGTGGTACTTCGCTGTTTTCGGCAATTTATTTGGCACACGGTAGATGATAGAGAAGGATTCTTCAATGCTGGCTTTGTGGCTGGTTTGGACCAGATGATCAAATATCGAACTGTTGATGGTTTTCACTACACCTTTACTTAGCTATACTGGGAGATGTTTCTTTTAAAAATTGAAACCACTGTAAATAAATCATAAAATTGTATGAACGAAAAGTTTGTGAACTCTCTTAGTTGACTAACTGTAAGGAGATAATATATTCTCAATCGATGGCGATAACTAATCAAAATCGATTGATAACCTGAAAATGACCCTATATGGAGTAAGCTATTGATGATGCAACATGAAGTTGTTGACTGCTAACACTTGAGTTTTGACTGTTCCCAGTTCCAGTTTAAAAAAAAGATGGTTCTCAGTTATAGAACCACAAATAGCCACTGCACTTTGTTTTCGTACTATTTCTCATCCACGACCCATGTTAATAATAGATTAGTGTAATTTCGCAATTGTACAATCTATGGGACCTATGTCTACCCACTCTGTATGTAATGACAAAGTTGACGTCAAAAAGAGTAGTGCTAGTAATCACATTTTGCAGATAGCGAATACTAATAATATAGTGGAAACACTTCTACCAATGTGAATTTTGTCCGTTTACTTGCTCACAGAGTGATGTGCAGAAACTGGTGATCTTTTTACTGCCATTTAATACATACCAACCATCAAAAAGTCGACGTGTTCTGTGTGTGTGTGTGTGTGTGTGTATGATTCTCCTACCTCATTATCTGTGGTCATGACTCCTTGACTCATTGGTAGAGTTTTGAGCCTTTATGGTCAGTTAGTTTTTAATATAAATATGTATTGATAAGGAGGCCGTGTGATCAGAATGTCCGAAATGTGTTACGTGAATGCATTACATGTTTCAGATAGAACAAACTGCGTCTTATTTTTTTTGTTGTTGTTGTCGAAATTCATGAAAGGAAGTAACTGCTTTTAAAAGTAATAACTTCTCCAGAGTGAATTACTCTCATAAGTTTTGCACTGATTTCTTCTGCTAATGAATTGAGGACATGCAAGGCAAACTTAGCTCATTGATTTAAGCACTTGACTTTTGACCAGTGGGCCTCGGGTTCGAATCCCACTGTGCCTACCTAGAGCGGGTAACTGGGCAGTATCATTAACCCTTACACAATAAGTGTCACTCATAATCCCTGGAATATGAAACACCCCTTCCAGGAACTGAGTTCAAAGATTGCATGCTAACCGTTTGGTTCAATGATAACACTCGCATCTTGTAACTCAATGATCCTGAGCTCATTGCTCCATGCAGTCATGTGTTTGCATTAGTAAAAAGTGCCAAGCTAGAAAATACTCGCTCTGTTAGCTCTCCTTAGTTTCTATGGCTATTTTCATTGAAAACCTGGTTCACTAATGTGTTTATTATTAATTTCTATTAAGGAAAAAGCTGAAGTCAAAGAAGCATTTGATCGTTATCGTGAAGAAGTATCTGAAATGGTTGAAAATATAGAAATGATCACTTTAGATAAAGAAATGACCGAAGAAAAACTAGAAAGATTGACTGGAGAAATTGAATTACTTAAGGAACAAGTAGAAGAATTAACTCTTGAGAATCAAATCTTGAAAGAAGAATTTGAAGAAAAAGGTTAGTAGTAATGATTTAAGTTGTTTCAAGGTTATTTTAAAATCGTTTCTATTGTATATGTTATTATTATTCATTAGGGTTCCTAGTGGAACATATTGCTTCAGCAACACATCGATCGATATTTCATCCTGTCGCCTTCGGCCTGTCGTAGCTGGCCCCACGATTGCTCATAACTTTCATCTCCACTTCACACGGCCTCCTTCATGTCACTCTCGTGTGCCCAACTCATCGATTGTTGTTTGAATCTCACTCGAGGGTCTGGCACGTGATGTGTCACTCGATAGTTTTCTCAGCCTGTGTCCAATGCGTTTATGTTTTCCTCTGCATATTTGTTGGACGATATGATCTTGGGTGGTTTTTTCGTGCCGGAGCTCCTGGTTGCTTGCTTATCCTTACTTGTCATTTAATCTGCAGTATGGAGCGAACGCATCTGAAGCCTCTTCGGAAAGTTTCTACTATAGTTGGGATAAACTACTGAAAAGGAAATTGTACTAGTCAAGTGATTTACACAGCAGTGTTTCCATTGATATCTTAGCTCTTAAAAATTCTCGTTTAACACCTCACAGAATGTGATCTAACCACCCATCTGAACTTTCTATAAGATGCTATTAACCACGTTAGCTCACAGGTTGCGAAACAAGTCAATCAACTAAGGTAGAGACACAGGCACATCGTGATAACAATTTCATCGTATTTTATTATCAGTCATTTATAACTTCGATAAACATTTCACTTTTTTTCTTCAGTGTTATCGGCTTTACTCTAATCGCAGAACTGTCAACTGACATTGTGCTCATTACTTTTCAGGAGCTATTGTGGTAACTATCTCCATACTTGTTGTTCATGTATTTTGAGAAGTCATTTTATATACTTCAAGGTAGTATTTAGGCATCTACTGAATGAGTTCATCAGTCCAGTTGTTAGCGCCAGATGTCCGGATTCGCCCTTTCAACCAGGCAGCTTAAAGGTAGTAAACAGGAATTACGTAATCAAAGGCTATAAACGCGTAAGCACATGAGACGACTTCTAGAGGAAGACTGAAGTCTACCCACCGTCGACCGTACCAGGTCGTTAATTGTAGCCGTATACCAAACTGAAGCTGATCAATTCGTGTCAGATTTATCGGCAGGGAATCACATAAATAAGCTAATACTGTCAGTGCGTGACATTACTCAAAACTCATTTTTCAATTCTGAGGATAAAGATTTACCGATTGGTAAAGAAGAATATGTAAAATTATAAAAGGTCACCCTGTCCCTTTATAGAATAATTTTATTTGGGGAGAAAAACAGTGATGCAACATTTTTTACTGATGACGTTTCGACAACAATTTATTGCTTACAACTATATCAAGGCACTCACATAACTTTTAAACTTCGTTTATGTAATTCTATTATTTCTTATCCATATCTCCAGTATACCAGCGTTACGTTATTCCTACTCATGTGTTACCTATAGATTAAATGAAGAAAAATTCAATGCTCGATTTCTCTCTCCACCTATTTATATTACTTTTTAGAACTGTAGCTCTCTCCCCATTGTATTGTGTGATTTTCATTTTTGTGAAGTCCATCATTTCACACTAAGCTAAATTCGTATGCTCCAATAATCTGACCAAACAACTGGTCTTACAGTTGTAGTTGATCTCACAGTCACTGCAGGTCATTATATTGATTAAATAGTTTTGTCTAATAGGGTCCCTTAATCTCTGAGTTACTTTGTAGGTTTAAATTCCACCCTAATTCCTGCCTTGTTATGAATCCTACGTCGAGTTATTTTATCGAATGAAATGATCCCATGATATGGAATTATACTCTGTTCCTACATCAAGGGTAACTGCGTTTTCTTGTCTAGAAATTCGCCAACATTTTTCTCTTACTTAAGGAGATAAATTACTAGACATTGCGTTCCTAGTTACTTATTGCATTCTACGTTTTTATCTCTCTTTCTCTTTCTTGTGGAAAATATCGGGTGCAGTATCAGTCGGTGTTGAAGGCGGTCCAACTCTCTTACAGTTTAAAAATCTTGAACAACAAAATGAACGAATGAAAGGAGCACTGGTCAAGCTACGTGATTTGGTTAATCAAGATAAATCGGAAATTTCAGCTTTAACTAAACAGGTAAATTCCTGCTTAATAATTTTTATGTATGATGCAGTGAGCAAAGAACGAAACTCGATGAAGGTAAAGTTGTAATTTTGATGTTCTTGCGTTCTTTGAGCTGGCTGATTTTAAAACTGCGAAACTTTCATGTTCCTTCCGAACAACATCTTCAGTACAAGCTTTTTATCAAAGCGCATCGGGTGCAGGGTTCTAGTCTGAGTGGAACACCAGCATACGTACGTCCAGATGATGAATCTCAAATAGGACGAAGTGCTCATCCTACATTCCTCTGCTAGTCACTGTTATCATAGTAAAGGTTTTTCTAACTTATGAGATAAGTAGTGAATGCACTCAACTTACCAATTCAATATTTCTAAACTTATTAATATTCTGTACACGAATCAAGTCTACTTTTAAGAACACTAAACAGGCTACCAATAGTTATAAATATTAATGGAGCTGTATAGCTGAGCATTGTGAATTCTTCGCATATTGGCTTCAACTGTGTTTTGAATTTCGTTTATTCTTCCAACTCTTCTTTTAACATCAACTCACTCATAGACAATATCAAAGTTTACAGTTAAGTCTGAGATAACAGTTTGTCTGAGTGGGAAAATAAAGCCTAAAAGTGAATGGTCGAGCAAATGGAAGTGATGAATGATGTGATAAGAGTTATTTACCTCTGTTGTCTTACGATTTTTGTGAAGCTCGAAATGTTATGGGGACAGTCCAAATCTGTGACCTAAAGTCCAATTCGAAAATAAGCAAAGCAATGTCATGATGCATTTTATCTTAATTTTGGTAACTAAGTCAAATCTGTAAGCTATTTTTACCTGTACACATTCTGTATGGAATCAAGGCGTTTTAAACTCGTCACATGGTACCCCATATTCACCAAGCCTTCATTTTTGTGGCAAAATTTCTTCCACATAATAATGCTGTTAGTAGGACGCCCGTGTAAACTCTATGAAAATGTGTCTATTAGTAAGGTATTTCGAGAAGGTTAGATCAGCTGAGATTCTTTGGTTGTACTTGGTGCATTTAACCGCCATTTATCGCTGATTTATTGTTATTGTCTATTATATCTGTAACGGCCAGTTAGATCAGTTCACTCTTATTGCTTTCTTTAAACTAGACGACTAATGGTAGTAGTAAGGTTTTCACCATCACAATGAACTATACAGTCAGAAAATAGAAGTTAATTGGTGGATGGTGACTAGCAATAGAATCCAGGATGCGCATTTCGGCCTATTTGGGAGTCGTCAATTGGATCTAGCTGTATTCCGCAGTGAGTGATGATGTCCCCACTGAGGCTCGGACGCAGTGCCCATAGCTCCAAACGCCAAAGCGTTATCCACTAGACCACTTGGGCCAAGATGGCCACCTCTTGTGCAATGGGTCATATTAATTATTTAATTCAACTGGAACTGCCTCATATGTGTGCAAAGTTCTATGTTGAGATCAGTAAGTTAGTCAGCTTTATCTGTATATTCATTTATACTAATTCAGCTCACTTCTATGCTATTTTGTAATATTAAATAGCTTGAAACAGACATCACAGTCACTGACGTCTGATATCGTCTTGAGATTGTGGGAATTTCGTTGTAGGGATTTGGATTAATTTTACTGCATATTTCGTCTCAATCCAATATCAGTTTAAAAAATTATCAAAAACCATAGAACACTAGACAGTGGTTTTGTCCCAACTTGTGGCTCTTCAGCAGCATGCTAAATAGTCAACGGAATCAGCCCTGTGACATGAAGGTCCTGAATTCGACCTCCGTTGGGGACGTGAGTGCGTATTGCTGAGGAGTTCTAATCAAGTACGAAACAGTTGTCTGGAGCTCCTTGATTTTGAATATTTCCCTAACTGATGTTGGTTCACGACGAAATCTACACTATCACATTGTATTTACCTACTTTTTATGAGAATTTGAAATACCAAACTTTAAACTGAATATTTAATTTTGTTTATTTGTATTTTAAAGATTACATCTTTAGAATCAGAAGTTAGTCAACTTCAAACAGAAAAAGAACGATTAACAAAAAATTTAAAAGATAGTGTTGAACAAATTATTGAATTAAAAGAACAAGTGGATGCTTACCTCGGCATTGATACAATGGTCAGTCAGTTGACACAACGTAATTTAGAACTGGAAGAAACGCTTGAGAAAATTAAAGAAGAAAGAAATGATCTGGTATGTATACACATGTTGATGTTGATATGCTTAGTAAATCCTTCATATGTATCCCTGCAGATGTTATGATTCCCAAATCTAATAGTATAAATAATGACTGCTTCTCGTGTTTTAACACGAACGATGTCCTTAATTGTCTTCAATCTCTGAAACCTACCCAGTCCCTTGGTCCTGATGGAGTTCCTGCTGTTATCCTTAAGAAGTGTGCTGACATCTTATGTTACCCATTAACCGACATTTTCAATGAATCCTTTTCCCAAAGTATTATTCCGGACTCATGGAAAAATATCAAGGTTGTTCCAGTACCTAAATCAACAAGTGGACCTACTGTTAAGTTTCGACCGATTGCTATTACCTCACCTTTTTTAAAAGTTATGGAAAGACTTATTTTACTTAATCTTGAACCCTCTTTAAAGCCTTTTAATGACCCCAACCAGTTTGACAATAAACATAGTAGGAGTACCTTAGATGCCGCTGTTGTTCTACATCATAATATAGTCTCTAGTTTAGATAGAGGAGCCAAATATGTTTGGTGTGCCTCCCTTGATTACACATCTGCATTTGACTCTGTTCCTAGGTCTCTTGCTAAGTAGAAAACGGGCTTGAGTATAAACTGCAACTCAGAGATGTAATTGGGTAATTAAAATAAAATAAAATAGAGTAAATGAGAGAAATTCTGATGGAAAGAAAATCGGGTAGCCTAGTTATTTAAGCAGACCATTATTGTTTGCTCTGATTTATTCGTAATATTGGTGCTCTACAATCTTTTATTTACACGGTTTGCGGAAAACTGTAAATAAATCGTTGTTAATGTAACAGGATATTATGAAATATCTTTAATTTCTAGTGTAAATGTAGTTCACACTTTTTTTGTCTCACTTTACCCACTTACCTAACTACCGTTCATTCGTTAGTTAAACTACTATGGAATGGGAATTAGTTGTAGCATTTCTACACTCAATAATGACGAAAGTTTCCTGCAAGCGATGTGACTCCTTCATATTTCTAATTAATTAACTCTAACTAAACGGTCGGTTAGGAGCGGACAGGTGGTGTTCAATCCATGACGTGTTGTCATGGGATAGAGAATAGTTGTCATTAGTTTAGCATCTCTTGTTGCACCGCTACCCCGAATGACAGTCCAAATCACTGACTTGAGTTGTTATCAAATATGGCTGAGAATCGTAATCTGAGAGTAGCATGCGGTGATAAGTCCCCTGAATAAGTATGCTTGCGAGTTTGCATAATTCTGTTCCCCAGCTACTCCATTTCTCTTCCTTATACTGTGTCTTATTGTTTTTGTTTTGTGTGGCACATCTCGTGTTGCCCATATTGTAGCAAGTTGCTGCTGAAATAATAACAAGAATGAGGATGGATTTCCCGCCGATGAAATTAGTTGATGGTCGCGCTAAAAACACGAATTGGTAGAAGTTGGAATTCATGGGCCAGTGGCTGAATGGAATACGAGCTTGCCTTGTAACCGGAAGGCCCTGGGATCGAACCCCAGTCCGTGCATACTTTCTCTCGGAAATTAGTCAGTGGTCCTCTTCAAACGGTCCTAAGCTGAATCCGTCTAAATATCAGGTAGTAAATTTCACTTTCAGACGAAAACGTGACCTACAACAACTAGCTAGCTCACATGGTCCCACTATCATTGATGGCATAGAGATTGAAACTACCTCTAATGTCAAATACCTTGGACTGAGTATTTCCTCCGATCTTTCCTGGTCCTCTCACATCTTGCTAGTTACTAGAAAGATGTTTCGCTTGACGTTCTACGTTAGGAAGTTAAGGCAGTCTGGTATAAAGCAGTCTTTGCTTTCTCAGTTTGTCAACTCTTGTATTCTAACGATCCCTCTTTACTGCTCCCCATTAATCTTTCCTGGATTACTTAAGAAAGACTTTGCTTTGCTGCGTAGGGCACTAAAAGCTGTTAGTAGGGGAAGTGGGATTTCGTTAAACCAACCGGTTAACACTATTGTGGATAGACATATAATGTCATGTAAGCTACTAGCGAATTCTCTATACGCAGCTCTCTCCTTGCATTTCATCTGGTAGAACTAGAAGCAACTATAGGAGGCTATATGCCAGGGCTCCCAAGTACAAGAACTTCACAATACCTTATCTGGCACAGCTGTTATGTGATGAGAAAACTGTTAGGTATGACACGATCAACTTACTGCGGCACTCGAACAAATAGTTCCCATTAGCTTTTGTTCTCCTTTCTTTGTAACTATTATATTGTTGCTCACATATTCTATTACACATTAATTTTATATTTCATATCCTGTGGTGCATTGTTTAAATATGTGAATGCAATGCCATTCTTTTTTATTTCTTTTATTTCTCGTCTTTTCTTTTTGTTGTTGTTGCTTTTTATTTTTAAAATCTTATAAAATTTATGAGGTAATTAGATGTAATATTGTAATGCACGCTGAAAATTCCATACCTGTACCACAAATACTGTTTGGAATAAAGCTATTATTATTATTATTATTAAGCTGTAAATATACCATGCCCCTTTTTCAATCTGCAAAGCTATAGACTGCAATCATATTCTATGTTCAATTTAAATGCGAGCATCCAAAGTATTACCTTATATTGATCTTTACAATAGAGACAACAGTACTGAAAGTAATAGTAAGGCGATAACCATCACTAAAGCTCAGCATTTTTTGATGTTAACAGAAAGTTGATATTACTACTATGTGGAGTTTATAACAAAAAGTCTAGAAATGATAAGAATTAACCGTCTTTGATTTTAAAAAAGTGCTTTGATTAAATAATTATTTGCTTCTTTTTTTTCCTATGGTTTTTATAGGAAGCTCTTTGTGAAATGAATGATGAATTGCAAGAGAATAGTCGTCAAACAAAACTTGAACTACTTGAAGAAATTGAACGAGCCAACAGTCAAATTAATCAACTTGTACATCATTTAGATGCGACACGTGAAACAATTGCAGACTATGAACAAACTCTTGGTAAATTTAGAGATTTAGTCTCTGATTTACAAACACAAAATACTGATCTACGTAGGTCATTAGCGGATGAAAAACGCCTACAGGAAGAACAACAGCAACAAAATGCCTATCGTACAGTTGCAACAGATCTTGTCGGTTCTACAGCTGCATTTATGGGGGGCAAATTTGGATTAGGCTCTCAAGTACAAACTCTTGCTAAAGTGAGTATTTCATATCATTATTTTTATTGATATCAATCTGTGATGAAAAGTGAAAACAAATAAAATTCCTAGAAATCAACACTTAAAAAGTAATCTGATACTCACTAGTGGTTGACTTACCGATTGCAGTCACCCAAAGTTCTAGGGGAAAGTCGTGACTAGCCGAGTCCGCCAAGTTGGGTGTGAGGACAAATATTCACCGCTGACATATTGGCTGGTGGTGATGTTGTATATCGGGAAACTGGCAGAAGTTAGAAGTGTGAAAAGTCATTGGATTCCATCCGAGTGGCTGAATGGTTATCGAGCTCGCCTTTTAACCTGCAGGTCTAGGGTTCCATCCTGCGTGAGGTGGTTATAGGTTCGTACTGCTGTCAAATACTCCCTGGGTTTCAGTGACTGACTCTCCGAATGATATTAATCCGTGATCACACTTGAAACCAATCAAATGGCTACAAGCTAACGCTTGAAAATGATTTTTATTGCTAATTTTATTGATTTTACGCAATATTTGACACAGCGATTATTCATCGATACAAATTAAGTAATCCTGAAAGACCATTGTACACACAGAAATCAGAGTAATAATTAAAAGTAAACAAAATGAAAAGGATTATAATGAAGGAAGTTTTCTATTCACCGAAATTAATTTTAAAACTTCATACTGGTTTATTTATACTAGAAGAAACAGAATATTTTATAATAATATCAAATTAGGGATTGAAATAGGCTCAGTGGGAAAATTTCTAACGCTGGTTTGCAAGGATTTAATTGATTTCAAATTGGATCATGAACCGACTTCAATTAGAGAATTAGTGAAAACCAAGTAGTACTAAATATCTCTCTCTTCCTAGTTTTGTGAATTTCCAGTCGTAGATACCTATCACCACCTCACTAGAGGTCGAACACAGGACTCTTCATTTTACAGGAAGAACTCGTTGATCACTCAGTCGCTGGGACAGAATCCAGTGGGCGGGCCATCAATTCTGACTTCTGCCAGTTTTGCGATTTATAGCTCCGCTGGCAGCCACCAACATCATCTGCAAGTAATTGTCGTCACAATCAACTTGGTGTGCCCCGTTTATGACAACCTCTCGCATCGTTCGACGCCTGGTGAAGTTATGAGTGCGTGTTGTTGAAGAGCTATAAATGGAGACGAAACATATATTGTTCATTTTAATTTCATTAACTACTAAAATCTTGTCCGCAATTAGTAATTGTTTACTTTAAAGATGCCTATGTTTTTATATCTACATGGCAAGTCAATAACCTTTTTTATGCTAAATGCCTTTTAAACTTAATTTTGACATCCCGTTCGTCTTAGAAATAAACTCCGCTTTCCTTATATCACTATGATAAGCTATAACGACTATTGGAATTATACTTTTACCGATTTGAATTAGTTTAACAACTCAATTATCATTTACACTTCTCGTGTTTTAATCTGTAAGCAACATGTAATCTTTTAGAGATATATGGTTACCTAAATTTCGGTTAATTTTTTGGAATCTGAATGATAAGTGTGGTGTCTTAACCAATTTGCCTGAAGTAGATACGATGGCTTGGTTTTCTTAGAATGATACGGAGAAGGTCATGTGAGAAGGAAACGAAAACTCCTGGACAGTAGTGAAGCTATTTTTTCCTTGAGTTCTGATGGAAACATAGGGGTTTGATAACACATCTGCTTTGCAATCTGTTCTCTGAAGTCCCACTCTCGGTTAGCTTTACTACTAGATGGTCGCAGGCAATCGGCAGGAAGCCTTGGACCCTAGTTTTCGTGATTCTTGGCACTCGTCGGGAAGGCATATCTGCAACCTTGAAGGAACTCGTATCCCTCCTGAGATTCGAACCCACGTCACTCAGTGCTGCAGTCAGAGCCGTTACCACTGAGCTATTCAGGCTCGCGAGTGACCTCCTGTAGGCCTATATTGGCTATTTTTGATTCGATACTAGTTAGTAGCTAGCGTAATGTGTCTAGTCCTTTGTTTTGTGCAGACTGAATTCTGTCAGTCAAGTTTGCAATGTGGCCACCAACTACCACGAAACCTAGGTTCAAGGTTTCCTGCCGATGTCTTCCAACCATCTAACACCAACAATTCACAGTGCACTCTGATGGCGAGCCACCTAGCATCGTGGCCACATTACGAACTCGACTGATAGAATTCAGTCTGCACAAAACAAAGGACTAGACACATTACGCTAGCTACTAACTAGTATCGAATCAAAAAGAGCCAATACAGTCCTACAGGAGGTCAGTCGCGAGCCCGAATAGCTCAGTGGTAACGTCTCTGACCGCAGCACTGGGTGGCGTGGGTGCTGATCACAGAAGGGATACGAGTTCCTTCAGGGCTGCAGATATGCCCTCCTGACGAGTGCCAAGAACCACGAAACCCAGGTTCAAGGCTGTCGAATCCCTATGTTTCAGTCAGAATTCAAGGAACAAATAATAGTATTAATATTGGAGTTTTTAGAAGTTGCGGCTCATTGGTCTCTGTGCCCGACTTTCAACACGTTGGTCACACGTTCGAACTCCACTCCAAGCATTGAAGTTTACACAGCCTGGGACAGTATGACCAACCCTCACACAACATGTGTAGATCATCCCCAACTATATGAAATTGCAAATGACTGTTGAGTAACGTTGAGTTGGGTTGAGTTGATTAGTATTTCAAGTTCTAACTGATATTTATGTTTTAATTTCAATCATTCATGATGAACTCTTCTGTATTCTACTTGCTACTTTGAATTCATGTTACCATATTGTGTTTTACTGTCTTATTTAACATTGAAAAAAGGTAATTGAAGCTGAATTAAGACGCCTTGAAGCAGAACAAACTGCAAATCATGTGACGCGGTTATCTGCTTTCTTACCTGACTCATTTCTCCGAAGTGGTGGTGATAATGAGGCATTACTTACACTTTTGTTAATCGACCGACTAGCTGGGAAATGCGATCTGCTGGCTAATCATGTAAGTTTAATCTTATTCTCTCAATTTGTGATATTTTACTGTATATAATAAATTATACGTCGTAATATAGTCTCAGAGTAGTGTATGTGTCCACGAATTGTACTACTTTTCGTGTGTACAATGCGTTACTGATATTCAGATTGGGGGACACAACTCTCTAATTTACTTTGCTCTAAACAAATGAATGTTTATGAGTTAATGAGATACCATAGATTTGTGTGATGCTTCCTTAATAATATTCGACAAATAAATGCAAATGTACGAACGATTTTGAGGCATATCACTGAAAGTCTCAAGCAAATAGTTCTTAGTGTCTCGGGGATCCCAGCCGAGTAGTCCATTCGACTACCTCTAACTATTATCCAAGCTAGTCCTGTGTCTGTTAACATTGCTCAATCAGGGAGGTAGTGACTTGGCATGTGTGACACATATCCCATCGATCTCGATTAATTTAGCTTCACAATTTCATTGACAGACTTCCTCTTCTCATCTAACTTCACTATTACCCACCATATTATACCGCTTAACACGAGAGATGGGAAGCATACACCTATGATCAGTGACAACTAACCTCTTCATATCTCTCACTTTCAACAACGTAAGCAGAACGAACTGCTGCGCGGTACATATGTCCTTTAATCGATAGTTGTATATCCCAACCATTACTATAATGAAGGTGAACGAAAATGGGGACAATGAACATACCCGACGGACACTTTTGATGTTCATCACTTGACATGATAACTCTCCATAGGGTCTAACAAGGCCGTGTGAGTTCGAGTAAAGCGTCTTGGTTAGTGTGATATACTTTTTCGGCACTCTGTTCACGACGAAACATTGATACATTACCTCTCGGTTGACGGAGTCAAATACCGCCTTTAGGTTAAGAAATGTAAGATTTGTTGGACACCGGTAAGTGTGCCTATATTTCAGAATCTGTCGAAGGGTATAAATGTGATCCAAACACTCTCGTCTGGGCCTAAGGCCTGACTTGTTTTCACTGGTTTGTTCCTACCAAGTACCGCTTAGTTGACGCGTGATTATTTGTACTAGTCAAGCCAGTCAAGCTTAACCCTATGATTGTTCTCACAGGCAAACGTGTCTCCCTTCCTATAAACTAGAATAATCAATGATTTACACCAGTCCAACGAAACTATTCCTAGACACTACATAATATCTTAGTTAAAACAGTTAACAATTCATCACCACTATTCTGAAACACTTATAGAGTGATTTCATAAGGACCTGTTGCTTTTCCTCGTTTCAGATTAAAGACAGCTTTTGCGACCTCAGTTACAATTAAAGGACTAATGTCTACAATCCATTCAGATAGGTGGTGGATGCTGAACAAACTAAGTATAACTGTAGGTTAGTTAAAGTGCTCCTCAAAATGCTTACTGACTAGCGAAATAAGTGTAAAATCGTTAAAACCAGTCAGTGGGAATTTATTGAGGGTGGATAATTATAAATAATGACATACGAAATATGATGGAATATTTGGGAGAATGAACTATGGTCTAAATAAGCATTTAAATGACAAACAGTTTGCATTACGTCACAATTACATCGCTTGAGGGAAGTAGAGGCATTTTTTTCAACACTAAAAGGCTAAGATAGTAGAAGAAAGCAGAGTTTTAACCAGTTTTTTTTTCTGTGTACAAAGCTGCAGCTCCTGTAATTCGACATTTAGGGCATCAGGAGTGCAAAGAAAGTGAATATACGCTGATTCTGATGGGTTATTTAACAGTTCTTAGGTGTAATTTCGGAGGGTAAAGTTGTCGTGATTGAGTGATCAATGTTGACCTGATGTTCAGCTATCGCAGATCTTGCAGACTGATTTCTACTTCTTCCTTAACCATCAATCAATCTTAGGATCTTTACATTCGTTAGGTAGTTGAAAGGAATCGACAGGAAGCCATTACAAGCATCTTGTGCAACGGATATCAGTTATTACTTTTGTTTTTAGGTTAAAATTTTGCATTTCCCGTTGGTCGATTATGTTGACCTGAAATGCTGGGTCTCTCTGTTGACATGTCGGCCGCTAGTACGGATGCTTCGACTGTGTCTTAGGAATGGTGTGAAGTCACTTCGGTTGATGATGACTAGCAATGGAATCCAAGATGTGTATTTCGTCGTGTTTGGGACTCGGCAGCTGCATGCACAGAGCACTTCGATCCAACACATAATCAATCAACGATAAATGCAAATTAACCTAAGAGCAAATATATTCACAATCGTTTTATATTTATAGCATTTAATCCCACACTAAATGATTTACTTTCAGCTTGTTGAACGTTATCCATTGCCTCCTTGTGTTCCGGGTCAAGCACCACTACAGATGTCTCAAGGTGAAACCAGTACTACTACTGCTGATAATCCAACTGAAGTTGTTTGTGGAATTTGTATTCCTGGTACTGATAATCCACTGACTAAAACACAATCAGAATTCTATAGTTTTATAACTAGACTAATTCATCTACTCCGGTCAATGGCTTCTTTGTTAGGCCAGTGTAAACAGTAAGTGATTTTGTGTATTTAGTCTAATTGATAATATTCTAGTGGTAGTTTGTAGGTAGGATGAGTGGGTTGATTGATTTCAAGTAAGATTTGGCCATAAAGTGACTTCAGAGGGAGAGAGAGTGATTGAAAATCAAAGGGTAATGCGAGTTTATTTCGTCTTAGTCTGTGACTCCTCAGCAGTAGGCATAACCCGACCTGGCATTGAAACGAGAACCTTCAAGGTATGAAGCGATCAGATTCTTGAACATTGTGGAGTGCAGCAGACCAGTAGCCTTATGGTCACACCACCTGCCAAGTGATTCACAACGGAAAGCTCAGTGAATTGTTCGAAGTGAAGACAGGAATAAGACAAGGCTGCCTACTATCACTAGTGGGTTGGGTCATGCGGCAGACTGTGGAGGGGGAGTAGAAAAACAGGCATACATTGGACTGACAAAAAGACTGGAAGATTTGGACGTCGTGAATGATTTCTGTCTCGTGTCTCTCAAATTTGACGATTTACAAGGAAACACCAACAAGTTTGCAGAATTGGCAGCAAAGACGGAATTTCAATTGAATAGAGTGAACAACAATCATCAGTTACCAGCAACGGGAGAAACCTGAAGGAAGTCTTTTCCTTCACTCAACTGGACATCATCGTTTCAACTACAGGCGACACGGATGGGTATGTCAAAGCCAGTCAGAGTTCGGAAATTACGACAGTCATGCATTAAATCTGAAAACAATGTGGAAATCTACCACACTCAGCACAGAAAAATCCCCAATTTTCAGTACTAATGTCAAGTCAGTGCTTCTATATGGTTGAGAAAGCTGGCGCGCACACTACGTAAAATATTCCCCAGAAGCTGCAGACTTTCATCAATAGGTGTCTTCTCTAGCTTCATACTGAAGACCAATTAGCCAGTCAGCAAAGATAAGTGTCAAGGAAGTCTCGCAACGAACAAACCAATAACTTGTTGCCCAACAAATGTGCAGAAAAAAAAAAAGAGCCGGATTGCGCATACGTTTATGAAATTGTTAGGTGGTGTACTGCTAAAGTCCTATGTTGTTCCACACGGAATCCAAGGGATGAATAATATAGTCACAAATATGCTCCACTGTGAACATGCAGTAGGTTCAGAATACGGATATCCAGAATTATCAGCTTTCTATTAACCCTTATTTATTCGATATAGTATTTCACACTGGAAATTTTCACTTAATGTTAAGATATTATGAGTGACATGAATAGAAAATACAGCCACTAGTGTATTACTTTCGGATTGTTTGTCGTACTTTTTATCATTTTTTCAAATGATAAACACTATTAAAAAAACAACTCTACAATTTTAACATTCAGTATGCAAATTTACTCCTGTATGGAATTGCTCCTGTTCAAATCTTAAAAAGGGTGTTGTTGGCACAGAGGTAGAATGCTCGCCAACCACGCAGGAGGTTCGGGGTTCGATCCCCAGCCGACGCATTCCTCTACTTCACTAAGCCAGTAATAAGACTGGTAAAGAGGGAAGGTTGGGCATGAGGCTAGCAACCCTATCCCATAAAAATAAATACCACTGCTACTGAAACTTCGAAGCTCTAGCTTGAAGCCCTATCTCCCACTGAGAACGTGAAGGAATAAATAAAAATCTTAGAAATACAAAATTGAATCCGTGATTTGCAATTTACGAAGTTTGAGAAGCCGAAATTATGGAGATCGTGGTGTGATATGCCTGTTAACATAAATGGCAATCAGGAAAAGAAGCATAAATGCATGACTGTATACTACTGATTGGTTGGTATGCAACTAGCATCAACCAGTAGTGGTTGTTAGCCAGATTGAAGTGATCTAAACACCAGGCGGCCATTTCGCTCCTTTGGGGTCGAGCTCATTGACAGTGGTATCCAACTGCAGGAGGTTTTCAAAAGCCAGTCTTCCTCAGTATTGTCAACAGTCCTCCGGTACGTCTGTGACCACACCCAATCGTCGTGTAGCTGGGTCCCAAAATTCAGGGCCAGTGTACACCATCACGAACCTCATATGGGGGTTGGAAGCGATGTCAACCAGGTCAGAAGTGTTAGTCATCCAGCTCTACCAAGAAATAATACCTTGCCTCCTCACTTGATTTCTGTTCCCTTCTATGGATCTATTTATTATTTATTTAAACGCAGAAAAACTTGGTACAATATGGCACCAAGAAAGATGCGCCACACAATATTGTGTGAGGGCTGAGATACTGCCCAGGCGCCCAGACCGAAGCAGGTGGTTTTCCTAAGGGACCGCCCCCCGAACCTTTGACTTAGAGTCTAATCCGCAAGGTAGCGGAGCAGCGTCAGGAGCTGCGTTCCCATGGTTGCCGGTGACCCATATGGGTTCATACGCCATTTGATCCGATTGAATTCTGGAGCCCATGTACCCCATGGTAACTGCTTTTAGTCTAACCGCTATCCCAACAACCTTCCTGACATGGTAGGACCTGTAGGGACATGAGTCCCAACCAGTTTAGCTTGTTGGGTCACTGCGGCATTCAAGCCCGACCACCACGGCAAGGTAGCAGTTATCGGTCGGGATTCTATGGATCAAGCTCTCAGAGTTCACCTCTGTCGCTCATATTTCTTTCAGCCATTAGGTAACCGCTGTTAGTGACTTTCCCAACGACACCTGTGGTAAAAACAGTTTCTGAAGCTTCTGACCCTGTTTACGACTACTGTGCCATTAGCCAACCATCCATTATGTCACTGGATACGTCAGATACATTGAAATTAAGGTCAGTTGTTTCTTCAGGGTTGAATTGTTTAGTTCTTCAAGTCTACAAACCTCCCCAAGTTAGTACCAATAAACGCAGCTCCGGCTTTAAATTATATCTTAATGTCTTTGTTTTGGCGAACGGCTACTGCTCAACTGTCCAGTTTCTGTTTTCTTTCATCTTCGAATAATAATCCAACAGCTCTCATCTATCATCAAATACTGCTGTATCTCGAATCATATTTCACTGCAGATAATCTCTTTAGAGATTATATATCTTCATCGCCAGATGGATTCTGATGTTTGGGTGAATGTTAATCTGATTGCTAAGTTGAATAAGAAGTGGTAGATTTACTTTCTTGCTAATTGTTGAGGAGTTTAATGCTTTAGTGTATCGTAAAAAAATAGTCCATGAAAACTGCTAGGCCTCGGGAAGATGTACTGTACTGAAGGTAGCTGCCATCTAGTTTCCCAGGTTGTATATTAAGTGGAGTGAAATGAGAACCTGTGACCCGTATCGTGTGAAAGCTCAAGTGGAAAAGTCAATAAACCACATCTTTACATTTCTGTTAACTTTCGGTTGTTTTGAACTACAGTAACCTGAATTGATTCAGTCCTTTCACAAAGCTCTAATTATCATTAGTTTATTTATCAGTTCTACATATACTTCATTGCGTTTATTGGTTTAGGGGTCCAAGTTCAACTCCTGACCGGTGCATTCCTATACCTTGCCCAGTTCACTAGTCGATAGTAAGCCTGGAAAATAGGGGAGATTGAGTCTGAGGCTAACAATTTTTCATCGTGTAAAAATGCGAACGGTATTGAAATTTCAAAGCTTAATTCCCGAAGCCTTATGTTCTCCTCGGGACACAAAGGTCGAAAATATAAAAGGATTCTTTTCTGTTTTATTTTCCAACTGCAGGATAGCAAACTATGTGTGCACTTTCATCATTTGTAATTGTCTGTTAGATTTATTATCTATTGGTATCACACTTTTAATTTAACATTACTACACTATCGTTTTGCTTATTCTCTCTTTCTTAATAGAGTCCTTTCAGGTTGTAGTGTTGAACTGTATTTGGACTTCGGTTCTTTATATAATGAAATGATTGCACATGAACATTGTATTGATCGATTAATTGAACAAACAAAGAATGATCAGTTGGATGAGACAATTTCATTGGGACCATTATTTTCGTCATACAATTACTTTATTCAATTATATACAGTTCATTTGAAAACAGAACCGCTATTTAATTGTAACAATAAATTACTGGATTTCACGCGAACAATTCTATCAGCTGTTGATGCCTTATCTGTTGACTCAACTGCTTTGATGATATTGACCGGTCAGAATGTTGATTGTTTATCACAAGTGGCTAAAACAGCTGCCACTTGTGTATCTGGACCATTGAGTATGGGTAATATGGATGATGTTGGTTCGTTACTGTTAAGTAATCCTACTGAAAGCGGTTTAATTGGCCTCCTTAGTGAATTAATTCATTTTGCTACAACTGTACGTGTTGTTACGCGTCGAATAAAACGAAGAATCCCGAATAAGCCTACAGGTCAACCGTTATCATTTAACCAGGATGTTTCACAGAAATTAGATTCAGCTATACAATTGTTAGGATCAGTTGTTGGTGCTATGTATCAAACAACTCGTTTAGCTGGCCAGTTAACAGTTCGACAAGTTGTAAGTTTTTTTTTTGAATAACTTGTGAATATGTTCTTTTTCATAATAAAGTTAAACGTATCATATCTTATAAACCATTTCGTTATTCACAATACATGAAAGCACTTATTTTGATTTTAAACTGAAATGCATAATTGGGATGTTAAGCACCACCGATGGCTGAAGATTGGTGATATAGCTCAAAACTGTTCTCATTCCCTCTTTTGATCTCTCTCATATCCAGTGAACTCTCTTGTTTTTCCATTTTTACTATTCTGTCTCTCTGATGTATGTTTCTACTCATTATAATTCCTTTGAATCCCTTCTTTGTCTCTTTTCTCTACTTCTGTGTGCTACATAGAGTGTGGCAACCTAAACTGGTGCACTTCTGTGCAAAGTTCTCTGCTGAAATTCAGTCAGTCATCTGTCAGAAACACTTAATATTCACATTTCGTAAATATGTGTTTAAAGCTGAATTTGCGGTGAGAGCTGGCTACGAACTAGCCAAAATTGTGAACAACAATTTACGTCAGTGTTATGTCTGGAATCAGAGTGATGAGAAAAACGATTGCAAAGCTTAACCTTGAGGAACTCACCAACCAATTACGGCGGACTTAACATGTGCAAATGGGATTCGCAGATACATGGCTTGACTTTCTGAGAAACGGCCATAAGCAGTACAAAATAACTTTTAGTAAGAAAACAACCAATCAGAAAAGGTTGCTTCTCCACTGATAATAATGTACATAAAAATCTATAAATACCTTTTGATTTTCTCAATAAACATTCTGTTGCCTGACTCTTGTCTTCTGTCGTTCACAAATTCAGTAATTTATCGTTATTGTATCTAAACCTTATTATTTTCCTCTTTACATATTTTCTAACTCATACGACTATTTTTTACATCCGTCGACTGTAGTGTTGAGATTGTACTGGTGTATTTCTAAAGTTTAATTTCTTTGAAATATGATATATGATCAATAAAGGAGCCTCTCTTTAGCTAAATTATTGTCATCCCTCAGGTGATCGCTGGTCATAATCGTGTAACTTGTTTCATTTTATTAAAGCACACTTGGTACATTGTTGGCACCAAGAAATGTGCCACACAAAACCTCATAGTTTGCACGACACCTGGGATACTGCCCGTTTACCCAGACCGAAGCAGGTGGTCGTTTTAAGGGGTCACCCCTCCCGAGCCTATTAGTTAAAGTTTTATCCACATGGCAGTGGGCCGCATCCCCATGGTTACCGGTGACCGAAACGCGTTCATACTCCATTTTTATCGTTTCAGATCTTGAGTCACGATTTTCCAGCTTCTCTAGGTAGACCAGCAGGTTCACCAGTCCGGTTGTAGGCGCCAGACGTTCGGATTCACTGTTTAATCTTTTTTAGGACCAGGTAGTTTGAAGTGGTTACACCTTGAGTTGCCTCCTTTTCAAAATCAGTTTTTATTTTACTTTATGTGTCGTCTTAAGTTAACCAGTCAACTTTTTTTCTGATTTTAATTAAATTCTAGGAAGATACAGCCAATTTAGACCCCGGTGTTGTTTTCACTCAGTGTTTATCAGAAGCTTGTAAAGAATATTTAACACCAGATGCATCCAATACTCGTTCCAGTGTCATTGCACCAGATATAGCAATTCGTAATAATTTAACTCAAGTTGCTCGTATTATCAGTCAAGTGGCATTAGCAATGGAGAATGGAGAATATGACTTTGATGGAACAAAACGAACCGCTGTAAGTTCACTGGATGTTTTTTTTCCATTGGTAGTTAAAGAAAAGCTGAGTGGATTATGCAGTCCTCTAGGCTTAAGCGCCTATCAAAGTCCACTCATCAGATTTGTAACATGTGCATTAACTTACTAAACACTGTAGTAAACTTGAGATCTAGACAGTCGATCTCTATAGCGCTCTCCGAGCTGAGTAAAACTGGATACACCCCTGATGAGTTCGGCCCGAAACGACTTCCAGTATTTAGATCCCCTTGATTTAGCCAGCAAGCACTATTGGTCGGTATGTAATATGTTTTTTTACAGGGGTCAGGGGATAGTACAAGGAGCAAATAGTCTAAACTGATTACAATTCACGGATTTAATGAATTTTACAATTGATACAAAGTAATCTCAGTAGACCCCACCTGTATACCCGACAAATAGATGCTTATTCGTAGAGGAACAAGTGAGGCAGTAGATGGAAAGTAGTATCTGCATATAGTGTATAACAAAACTGTTAAAATCAACAAGCTTATGTGGGCTCGAAGATCAAAATGTTAACCTCTTTTAAAAGTACAAAACTCAGTATTTTCAGTCGGACGAATATTTTAGAATAAATTTTAGTCAAATTTAACCGTCAAAGCATCATTAAATTAATGACTGTATTTTATAATACTTAATCTAGTTTTAAACATTTTCATACCTATAACTCCCCAAAAAGAGATAAATTGGAGCCCTGTTGTATTGATCACAGCAGTCTTTATTACGTGCTATATGTAGTAGGTACAGTGCAACCAACTTTTAATAAGTCGGTTAACTCCCTGAGGATATAACTAATAATTATTTTGGTTGACGGTGTATAGCATTATAATCCGCAATGCGCATTTTCGTCCCATTAAGGACTTGCCGGCTGGAAGTACCTGCATCCCTACTGAGTAGTGGTGACGGTGCTGCTCATACTCAGACCCGAACCCTGCACCCATCTTTCCAAACTCCACAGCATTATCCACTGAGCCACGAGAGCCACCCCTTGCGCAACGAGTATCAGTTATTATTTTTGCTTTTAGGTTAATTTTGCATTTCCCGTTTATTGATTATGTTGTACCGAAGGGCGTGGTCTCTGTTGACATGTCGCCTCTTAGTACGACGTGTAGGTATTTAACACATCCTAAAATATGAATTCATTTCGTTCTTTCACTATGTATTCTTTTGCACATACCTCTAAGTTAGGATGGTATTTTACACTTTTGTTAATAAATGGACTGATTTTCATTTTCTGATGTTGTATGTGTGTTTATAGCCTCAAGAACCAGTCTCCGCTCGTGCTGTTGCCTATAAACGTGCTCAAGCTGAACTAGAAGGATGTCGTTCTAAATTAGAATCTAAAGCTGAAGAAGTACGAGAATTACAAAAAGCACTTAAAGCACGCGCTGAAGAACTCAGTGAAATGTCTGTACGTGTTGGTTTAGCAGAGAAGAAATTAGAAACATCTTGTAAAGGTTATGAAGAGAAAATAGCTCGTTTAGAACAACGCTTAGAACAATCAGAAGCTCAATTAAAACGAAGCGAAAAGTAGGCCCCTGTTTGCTTATTTTCGGTGTAATTCGATTTTTGTTTCTGATTGATGTAATTGATAAGGGATTTCGCTATCCGATAAGAATTTTGACGAACTGTTACTAATTTTATCTTTGTTCCAGTGTCAAACAGATTGTCACAAATGGGGACAGGAAGTGCACTGGTCCTCAATGACCAAAGGCGGACATATGAAGAGAGAGTGGACAATTTATTTAATGTTTACGTTGATGATACATAGTACATGTATTTGTGCTGGTATGATAGACTTTTCACGATGTCATCTAGTGTCTCCTATTTTATATTCTTAACTTCCAAGTGTTGTTTTAATATAGGAATTTGATTGGTTCGAGATTTGATCACGAGCCGATATTGTAACGACAGAAGACAGATGTCAGGCAACAGATCGTTTATTGAGAAAATCAAGGGATATTTATATATTTTTATGTGCATTATTGTTAGTGTTATTGTTAGCAGAGAAACAGCGTCTTCCGATTGGTCGTTTTCCTACTGGAAGTTATTCTGTCATCTCTTTGTGGCCGTTTCTTTGAAGGTTAGACCATATATCTGCGAATCATATCCGCCCAAGCGAAGTCTGCTGTGATTGGTTGTTGAGTTAGTCCTTGTTTTTGTTTTTTTCTCATGACCAAAATTTGGGACGTAAACATTAATGTAAATTGCCGTCTACCTATGTTGGCTAGCAGACAGCTCTCACCACAATATTAGTTAGGGAACTATAGTAAACCAGGGAGTACTGGAAATCTGTCTTGTCCTAAGTGGGGTCTCTTCATCAGTATGCATCTACCGGAGTTTGAGCTCAGGACCTTCTTTTCACAAGACGAGCTCGTAGACCAATTTACTTGATACTACCCTCTAAATTACTGTAACTGAACTAATCAGCAAAAAGCGCTAGTTCTAAAGAATAATCTGTTTATGATGTATGTCTTTTCTCGGGAAGAAATTGTTAATGTGTTTAAACCATCATAGCTGTTAATTTTTATGCTTCATTTCTTCTGGCTTCCAGGAAATTTGAACAAACCCTTGATGCACTTCGAGCGGATATCGAAGCTTTAGAGCATGAGAAAGCAGAACTTGAAGAGAAATTGGAGACTTTAAGTAAAAATGCCGTATTTGAAGGAATCAATAAAACTCCATTGGTCACTGGTAAGTTTTGTTTTCAGTTAATGCTTATGTGTAGTGCATATACTTTCAAAGGTATTGTAGTTGTATACATTCTTAGATCTTTGAATGGTAGAGTGATGGCCAATCACGTGGTTTGGGTTCCATTCCTGACTAATGCCCTCCTAAAATCTCGCCTAGTTTACTAGTTGATAGTAAGCCCAGTGAAGAATGAAGGTCAGGAATCAGGCTTTACTCTATAAGAAAAACACTACCTCTACTGAAAATTTAGCGCTTGAAACTTGGAACCCTGCATTGTGCGCGATGTCATTCAACGGCGTCCTCAACGTATACTCGATCCATCTCCATTTTCTCCTATATATTTGTCGAGCGATCGGCTCTTGGTTAGTTGGTCGCCAGCTAGGGTTTCTTGTTGTTAATTCTTTCTGGCTAGCCACTTGATCTTCAACATGGAACCAGCGAAGGTACCTGTTGATAGACGTCTGCAGTAACTTGTTGGAAACTCTTTTTGTGACGTGCAGTACAAGTTTCTGACCCGTATAGAAGAACTGACTGACTTGACATTTGTATTGAAAAGCGAATCTTGGTCTTTATGCTGCCTGAGTACAGAAGATTTCCAAACTGGCTTCAGGTTAGGTTGATGAAGGTGTATCTCGCTTTTTCGATCCTAGCTGGCTGGCTTTAACATCTTCATCTGTTCCAACTGCCTGTGATTGAAACCATGCATTCTAGATAAATGAAAGAAGTAACCTCTTTCAAGTTTCTCCCATTGATAGTGATTGGTGCTGGTTGTTGTTGCTGTTGGTTGGTCATCTTCATCACCTCCGTCTTCTGTATGTTCACCTGGAGTCCTGTCTTCACTGGCTGCTTCTTATACCAGTTTTTTTGGTTTTCACTTGCAAGTCTTGTAGTCTGTGACATTAAACACAAATCATCCACACGCGAAATCCAGACCTTCTAGCGTTTTCTTATCTGTGGTCCAGCGTATTCCTGACTCCTCGCCACCAACAGTCTGACGCATAATCTACTCCACCACAATTAAGAATATCATCGGTGATAATAGGCATGCAGCCTTGTCTTACTCCTGTATTCACTTCGAACGCCTCACTGAGTTTTCTGTTATGGATCACCTGACACGTGGCATTGCTATATAGCCAGCTGTTGAATGAGGTTGACAAAGACTTGAGGTACGCCGTAGTGTTGAAGTAGTTTCTAAATTACTGGTGAAGGCCTTTTCGAAGTCGATGAAGTTGAGGTATATGTTTGACCGCCATTCTGTGATGACGATGCGTATAGTTGCAATTTGATCAGCACATGATTTACCTTTCCTGAATCCAGCTTGCTCCGGCGGGCGAAGTTCTGCATCCAGTACATCTTTTATTCTCCCCAGAATGACACGACTTAGTAGTTTACGCCAGTCGTTGCGGAGGTGTAGGTCACCCTTCATTGGTAGCTTGACAAGGTAAGGTAGGCTTTCTTCCAATCGGTAGGCACATCTCCTCCCTTCCAAACCTTTTGCAATAATGGCGTAACCCAACTACAATACTGGTATAATACTTTCTAAAATACTGGACAACAGATAGGCTTCTCATATATATCCACCTTTTTTCTAACTGCTAATATTAATAAATAGTTTATGTAGGAAAGAGTTGTATGATACAACAAATATGATGAACTTAATAGCACTTGTAAGCCGGTTCATACATCGTAGAATATTAAAAATTATTTATCAATGGATAAAATGGCTTTTAAGGTGTCTGTCGATACTGTCCTACTTTTATTAGTAAAAATGATGAGAAATAACAATAAATAATACAACATCTAGACAGATTATTTATACCAGTCGACTACGCGAACCTCGATTGGTTGGAGGACAGCTGTCAAAACGTACTAAACACTGATATATAAGACAGTTTAATTTTCTTAACAGTTCTCCCTAGTCACTGTTTATCCTCACTTGCATTTACCTTGGGATATGTATGATTGTAGATACAATGGTGGAAATTTGTAGTTCAGGTGGATAATTTTGGTGTAGTTTATGTACTCTGTTGAGCTGGATCATCCAGCTCACCAAAATATGTTTTATGCACCAGATACTCGAGAGTAAGCCGAATAGAAGAATGACAAGTTGCATGTGGATCTGAAGGTGCCATCGTGGGGATCTTATGAAGAGGGAATGAAAGCTCACCGCTAATTGTGAGACCACCTAAAACAACTGCAGAGAAGAGAGTGAAATGGAAGTGTGCTGTTGAAACCATATGTTCTGGTCCGAACTCACGGGAATAGTAACAGTCATTTTTCTTTATTCCTTCACATTCCCAGTGAAACATAGGGCTTCAAGCTAGAGGCTTGAAGTTTCTGTAGCAGTGTTAATTTCTACAGGATGGGGTTTCTAGCCTCATTTCCAACTTTTCCTTTTTATTACTGGCTTAGCAAGCTAAATGAGTGCGTTGGCTGGGGATCGAACCCCGGACCATGTGCATGATCGGCGAGCGTCCTAACTGCTGTGCTACCGACGCGCTAAATAACAGTCATAATTATGTATCACTATTATTTTTATTATTATTATTACTATTATTATTGGTAAAATAATTAGCAGTTTGAATTATCAGAGAGTATTTGATCATTTACGCAATATTCATACTTATTTGCTTTATAGTAAGTAATAAATGTATGTTACTTTAATTTTCCCCTTGTATAAGGTCAAACTCCATCTAAGGGTCAGACTGCTACACCTGAAACTCCTTCAGTTGGTAAACAAACTTCTGTTGAGGGTGCATCACCTTCACCTGGTCCTGCACGTCTAGCTGCCTACAGAGATGCTTCATTCATGTCAATGGAGGTTAGTTTTCACATTTTGTTTTCTTTCTAATAAATAGACGTTTATAATCCCTTCAATCAAAATATCTCAGAAAAAGTCATTTTTGTAGTGGATATTGCTAGTTTACGTATTTAACTTATTAAACTTCGAGTGGTTTCAACTGTCTCACCCCCTTGTAAGCTAAGTCATACCTAGTAACATCGCTGATGAGTTCGACCCTAGACTAGAGAAACGGCCGTCCAGTGTTTAGACTACGTTGATATAGCTAGCAATCACTTCTGGTTGATGTGAGTGGTATACACCTATTCGTCCCAATGAATCAGTAGCATATGGCGTCTTGCATTTATGTTTGCTTCCTTGATTTTTTTTATTTCTTTATGTTTCCAGTGGAAAATAGGCCTTCAAGCTAGACACCTGAAGTTTCTGTAGCAGTGGTATTTATTTTTACGGGATGGGGTTTGCTAGCCTCATTCCCAACCTTCCCCCTTTACCAGTCTTATTACTGGTTTACGGAGGTAAAGGAGTGCATTGGCAGGGGATCGAGCCCCGGACCACATGCGTGGTTGGCGAGCATTCTACCGCTGTGCCACCGATGCATGCCTTCTTGATTACCATTCATGATATCAAGTACAACATATATTGTAATCTAAATAATTTGCACAGGGAACTGTGATGAAATTTCATCTCCTTGAACTGTGGATATTGCAAATCGCCAATTGGTTTTAGTGGGTGTAGATGTCTAGTTCACAAATGGCATTAATTTTACTCATCTACGTTCAAGTTTACCACCAGTCAAATCAGAGGAGGATAATAAATAGTCTTAACATTCGAACAAGTTAATTATTTTGACTATAAAAACACTCGTCTTATTTCCCGTCTGATTTTATTTGATCAATAACACTCATATTATTATTATTCCTGAATGTACATTATCCTATAGTGATTTTCATTCAAATATCTAATCAATCAATTCCACTCATGTATATAAATGAAGTAAAACGTTGTGTGGGTGATTTGGTATGATTATGTGCAATAATTTGTGCTCGAAACGTCATCAGTTAATCTTACTGTGTAATTTGTCAAAATAAAATCTTATCTATAATGGAGTTAAACTGAAAACAACTTTAAATAATCCCATTATTAACATTAAAACAAGACGACATATAAGCGAACTATATTGTTTTCACTTTAGATCTTCTTCAGGCTTTACTCTAATTTATTTAGATTTATACACAAAATTTTTAACCAATGATGGTGAGTTTATGGATCAAATAGCAATAACAACGTGTTAAATGTTTTGAAGGTCAGTAATAAAGATGATTATAATGATAACAAGATTTATGCACGTGGTGATAAGATGAATGAAGGTATCAATATGTGTATGTTTAGGAGATTCAATAAATAATTTAGGTCAAATCTCAAAAGTTACGTAATACCGAAGCTGAAGTGGACAGGTAATTAGAGTTCAAAATAAATATCATAAAACTACGAAGGAAATGGAAAATAAGAGAGGGTGGAAGGGTTTTGATTAGAATTTGCCTAGGCAAAGGTAGAGCAAACTTCTTTTGTACGCAGACTAGGATTGTTCTCTCGAATTCCTATAGCTTCGGCTATTTGTAAAAAGGCGGGTTTGAATTCCATTCGAAAGGTTCGATGAAATGCGATGGATAACTTTGAAGGCACTTCTTCTGCCCACTTGGTGACTGCTATCAATCAAATGAGTCAAAGTAGAACTTCTTACAGATTTTATTTAGCCTTTTCCGAATTATGGAGGAAGATGCTCATTAATGGTGCGTTTGTTGAGCTGTCTAGTTGTTCGACCTACATAGCTTTCTCCGCAGGAGCAGAAACTCACCGTCATTGGTTAAATTTTCTATATATAAATCTATATAAATTAGAGTAAAGGCTGAAAAAAGATCTAATTGAAAACAATATTGTTCTCTTATATCTTATTCTAAGAGCAACTTTACAATGCATTGATAAAAATAGTGGCTGGGTTGTTTTTCAAGAGTTATCACTTGTATATTCCGACGGTAATTATTATTTCAAATCGAATAATTGAGCAGCTTATGTCGATGAGTTTTCACACAGGACATAACACACTTTCCCGTAAATTTTGATTTCTAGCAACTGGTTGACTGACTTATGATCGAAGTCAGTAGTTTCTAAATGCCTCATCTTGGCTAATCGTTTGCATCTTATTTTTCTAAGTCCTACTGACTACCTTCACGCAGCCGGAGGTGTTTCTGACAGAGGTGAGAGGTCGGAGCCAAACTGTAACGGCAGAATACAAGAGTGTTTGGCAACGAAATTAGTTTTTAGCAACTCCATGTACAGGCGAAATACGTCTACCGTACAATTTGCACACGTCTTCCGTATTGTGCATTGCTGTCTTCGTTTCATGTATTCCATGTTGTTTCACAAGCATCGTTCATTTCTTCTCTTCACCAAAGATGTTCGGTATTCTTGCAGATAATATACATATTTTTGGAATAAGGCAGATTATTATAATATTTTTATCTGTATATATATACTACTTATAAATCTTGTCAGTAGCTTACGTCACAAAATGTCTGTTGCTTACATCTGGACTGGTGAACGTGTTAGTTTACCTAGGAGAGCTGGAAAACCCCAATTCCAAACTTATGGTGTACATGGCCTCCACAATCCAAACGGATCGAATGGCGTGTGAACCTCCTTTTGGTCTCTGGAAGCCATCAGAACACAACTCCTGACCTTGCTTCATTCACTGCCTTGTGTATCAGTCTTTCTATCAAAGGCTTGGAAGTGGTAGCCCCTTAAGGCCAGTCACTTGCTTCGATCTAGGCGTTCAGGCAGTACTGAAGTCCTTCCACAAGCTATGTGGCACGTCTCTCAAGGCTCACAACGTACCTAGTTGATGTTTTAATAAATAAAAAATAATATTTTTGTGGATAAGTGACAAAACTGTATTACAATATCACAGATGAATTAATATTTCACTGAAACACATTACACATAGTGTCTGAAGCAATATTACAACATAGGATACGATTACATGAATTGGCTCTGTTACAGATATAAGTCGAAATAGAGGCAGGAACAAGCTACAGACCCTCGAAGCATGGATTACTAAGTACTAAAGGTAGGAAAATATTTACATACTTTACTATTATATATGTCCAAACCAAGTTGACTTTTAACGGTTTGAAAAAATTTGGGCATTGGGTATATGATAT